CAGCTGCTTGCAAAGTCACTATCTGACTAAGATCACAGCATCAGAGCAAGAACTAGGGTAACTATACCCCCTCTAAGCCAAAAAGCGCGTCAAACAGACTACTGACTTTGAAAGTCCGGCAGAGCGCTTTTTTAAAGCGGCAAAGTGGTTTTTGCACACTTACATTTCTAGCCTTTCTCTGCTGATAAGCCCTGTCACATCCTCCTTCAACATCCTCATTTGTGACGTGGTATCTAAAATTCACGTACGCAATCTTAGAAAGCAAGGCCACACCAGTATATTTGTTCTAGAAAGTACTTACACACATGAAGGAGCTGGAAAGAATAAATGACCACTATTTGCTCTTACTCATGGCTGCTGTAACTTCAGTTAAATCAATCAAATTGCCACGGGGCTGAATCTGACCCTGGCACGTATTCATAGCATACGCCTCACTTCTAATGTTTGTGCAGTCCTCCGAGCCGTGTATATTCCTAGGGTAGGTTACGATAACAAGACAAAGGTGGAAAGGCAGCACAAGTAGCCGTGCTTGCGCCACCTGTACCTTAGCACAACTAAGGAGCATCAGAAGTGGTGCCAAAGGCTTTGTCACAAATTAACAAGCACTTCAAACCTCCCGAGACCCTAATTATGCCCCTGCTTTTTTCTTTCTGTACTCACCGGTACTAACAAGAATAAAGGCAGCCCATCCAAGCCCATCTCTGCTGCAACCCCACGAACACGTTGCTTCACAGATATACTCTTAACTCGTAGGCATTAGTTCCCCTTTTTGAGGACTTCACTACTGATAGGTATTTGGCTTTTTTCCAAAGGTTTCAGCTTGGACCTCTGTTGGATATCAATTATGCAGGCTACAGGAATTCCCAATAACACGGGGTTCTCTGTTTCAGTACATAACTTGATACAGAAAATACCCGAGCGACACAGAATGTCATTTTAACAGGATGCTTGTTTAAGTAGCAGTTGGGTCATTTTTCCCCTCAAGGATATTAATTAGCCTAACAAAAATGGGAACGGTTATCTTTGGCTTTTTTCTGATCCACTAGAATCTCACTTGCAAGAAGAAATAACTCACTCTTAGAGCTGGCATCACACACACACGCAAAGGAACTTCAAATTCCTCAACACTCCTGCCAGAAGGAGCTAGCTCCCATTTCCTTACAGGAATTCATTAAGCCCATAAACTGCATTTTTCAGCCTTAGAAAAAAGGACCCTGCATTTTTTCTCGCATAAGAACGAACCTTGTGAAGATTTTTTTCAGACCACTGACCCTTCTCTCATTCGCGTGTACAATTCAACCTGAATTTAGTACAGCCTTGCTAGTTACTATTTTTCATAGCAGCTACTAAAATGCTGCTGTTGTACAACCCACAAGTGGCCTAAAAGAGATACCACCTTAACCTGTACAAAGCACCTAAATGCTTAGCATGATAAGGGGGGCTGCACAAAAACAGCACAAAAGTAGCAAGTGTTACTGCTCAGTAGGATACCAGGCAGCTCTGAAGCCTGCAGGTAATCTGTGGCATTTTTAAGATTTAGCCTCAATTTAAAGGTCTGTACCTGTATGTAAAGGTCTGTTACAAGTTAACCTAACCAGGAATAATTTAGATTTATCTAAGCTACCTCTCTTTGGAACTGTAATATACTGGATTTGAACGCGCTCTAACATGCATACAGGCATATAAAGGTTTTTAGTCAGAGCATCTCAGGCAAGGTTATGAAATAGCTATTAGGCAGTGCTGAGAGGCACTGGTGCGATCACCTGTCACATTCCAGCCTCAAGGACCTAAACACACCACATGCTGGTAGCAAGCAAAATTATTGTATCATTGTAAAGATGTGCAGTAAAAGCAATCAGTGCCCCCAACACTAGAGCAGAGCATGCAGCTAAGACCACACTTTGCCTTACCTGCAGATGCAGACCCATTTCTCACAGCCTGACCTTACGCTCCGTGCTGGTTACAGTGCCGTAACTTTGGTCACAGTGAGGCAGGAGCTACAACAAAAGCAGGTCATGCCAAATTACGTGCTTTTTACAGTGTTATTTATCAGTGTGTATTTCCTGCCGAGACAACAGTATGATCCTTGAGGCAAGTATCTCCAAAACATCGTGACAGTATTGTCTCCTGAAAAAGTCCACGGTCATGGGGGGAAAAAAAAAAGTTATCAGCACTGTTTGCTAGAAAAGATAAATAATTGGCAACAGCGATTCCACATCTGCATAGCACCTCTGCCACCCTCATGTGGCTGGTCTCCCTTCTTTTTGGATGTTCCCTCACAACTGCTTTCAGCAGTCGCCCATATCCTCCGTATCCAAATGTCAGAGCTTTCCTGGATCTCCTTTCATTCCTCGTGACCCTCATATTTGAGCAAACTTACCCACTCACAAAGCAGCGGAAATGGCTTCTACAGCTAGCAATGATTGGCAGTTGAGAGCTGTCTTTACATATCCAAATATCTTTGACATCTGCTTTTCTAAGTTGATTTCAGCCTAAATTTAACATAGTGATGTCAGTGTCCTATCTGCTGAGCTTTCTCTACCAACCTGTTCACAACGCTACCCAGCAGATGGTTCAAAAGCTGAATATAATTTTAACTCGCTCCATAATTCACTCATGTCAATGTGGCTCAGACTCTGGAAAGGGCTTTCACTCAGACGGGAAGTAATTTAGAATTTAATCAGCTCGACAGAGCGTACTGCAGGCACTTTTGCTTTTCTTGACCTTTAACGGAAAAAGCTGAACTCTTGGCCATTCATACCAGAACGTTATTTTATATATACGTGAACAAACAATGCTCAGTAAAGGGAGAGAACTAATGGAAAATTATCAAATCAAGGCATTCTGATTTGCAGCTGATGACTCAGAACTACAGCAAAAGCCCTTCATAGAGCCAGAGATCTTGAATGGAGAAAGACTATCTCACTTGACCATATCATGTCCCAGCACCCAACTCCAAGGGGAAAGTACAAAGAAGAATGCCAACCTCTCCTTTTGGGGCAACGAAAGTAAACTCCTATAGAAGGAGGAAAGATTAGACCCTTAAAAATTCTCCAGCGAAGGTGAGGACAGCTGTGGAGCTTGTCACAATAGTGGCCTCACAACCTGGCAGCTGGAAGGCTGGTCCACTGCAATGACATTGGCTGTTCCAGGTGCTGCCAAATCAGAAGATGACTTCTGCCTCCAGTTATCACCTGTGAAAAACAATAAAGGCCAAGCCCAGGCAAGGGAGAAGGAAAACAGAAATTCCACTTCAATTTTAATTCATGCCAGCACACAAACACCTTTTGATTATTTCACTTCCTCTTCCATCATATCATGAAAGATGCTGGGGGAAGGGGGGCAACAAAAGACAATTTCACATATTATACACTGTAAAATGAAATTACAATAAAACAAGCTGAAGAGCAAACACCCCTTTACTGAGCAATGACAAACAGAAGTCCCTGTACCACCCTTTCAGTTTATGATACAAAGAGCAGAGGTGCTCCCAAAGAGAGACCAAGACTAAGAGAGTCAGGTTCAGGGCTGGTTTTTTTCCAGACAAGACAGACGGTCAAAAAATGTGCCAAATAAGTAACCGGACCGTGTAAATGTAATTCCGATAAACACTGTATACCAGCTATATTAAAGATAAACCTTTAAAATAGGTACAATCATCTAGGAAAAACATTTATTCAACTAATTTACAGAGGAAGCCAGTTAAGGCAAAATATATTACTTGGAAATAGACAGGCTTTCACTGGGTACAAATACAAGCTGGCTTAACAGTATACGGTATATAAAAGTGTCCTTTGAAAGCATTTAAGAAAGGTAAAGGCAGAGCAATATAAGCTGAAAAGTTTTTTTTTTTTTTCAGACAAACAAAAATTTGTTCTTTGTTTTTAAAAAAGTATTTTTAGCAAAATATTCTCTCACACTTACTTCTATATTTTTGAATAAAGATTTAAGTTTGTGTGAGCATATAGGGCATTCTTAGCTATGAAAAACAGACACTAAAAAAGACCTACATGAGAAACAACGCGCCCATGACATCAAGAAAGGCATTTAAGATTTATAAATGTTTTAGAAAATCCAGGATAGCAAAGCAAGTGGTATAAACGTCACCATTTTCCACATTAACTTGCCGATACCCACAACTTGATTGAAGAAATTACATAATTCCATATAAAACATGAAGTTTGGAAATGCTGGAGTAAATTACGTTGTTGGAACTGCAATGCTGAGAACGTTTGTTGTTTATGTGGTACCTGATCTAAAACCCACTGAAGCAACTTGAAATTTATCTAGTGTTTCAATGGGAGATGAATTTCATCTCTGCTACAAAAAAAGCTATATATAAAAAGAAAAAAGATGCAGCATGGAAAATAAGAATTCAGAATTATTTGGCTCAGACTTCAACTAGCTGAGCATGAATCTGTGCTCTTCCTCAGCAGCTCACTGTTAGATGTTTTAAAAACTCCTCAGCATCAGTCCTGAGAACTTATATACAGACACCAAACCCGTCAGGTGTAAAGTACTACCTAAGCACAGGCCCCAAGAAAATATCTAACACAGAAGGTAGTCTCTCTGGATTTAAGATATAGATATCTAAGATATATATGTTTATATTACTAATACAATAGTAATAGCTAAACAATAGACCCCTTCTTTCAAAAACATACTGAGTAAATAAAAAATTAAACATCTCAGCAAATGCCTATTAAGGTGTCAAACAATAGCACATCCCATTTTACAAACTGTAATGCTATTTGTCCCAGTTATAAATATATCTGTTCTAATTTCCTCTTTTGTAAATCATATTGGAAATCACCTGCTTATTAAAAACTGGAATTGCTCATTTCCACTACCGGAAAGTACCTTCAATTCTTAAAAAGTAAAATATAGTTACAGGCAGATTACAAATCTGTGTTGTATCCACTGAGGATTAGAATACGCAGCTTTCATTTCAACTCCAGAAACAAAAACAGTATTCCTTAGTGTCATGGATCAGCCTTCCTTCAAACAGTCCTGGGTGGTGCACTGTAGATCATCTGTCGACGGGACATGCCAGTGAATACCACATGCCAATCAGTCCTGTTGACATTCAGTAAATTCTTCTCAAGCACTTCACCCACTGTCACCAACAGGCCTGACCATCTCAGATTGTAGTCCTGAGGAGTGAGACTCTGAGCCTGGGTAACATTTTGAGAAGAGATTATTTAAACAAAGAAATGAATAGCTTTGTTTCTATCTTCAACACTACCAAGTTTCATCAATAATCATTATCAGTGGGACTATATGAGAAATAAAAGGATATTGGAACCCAAAGTTACAACAGCCCCATAATTTGGCTAGCCAGTACTGCTTTTTGGCTTTACATGGAATTACGATCCTAGTGACATCCGAACAGTTTAGAACTGAAATACAGCACAGTTGAAGTAAAGCTGTTCTGTCATTATCAGGAAGCAGTCTTCTCTCAAAGTAGCCAACAACTGGAATCGACAGTTATACACATTCATACAATGACTCTCACCTTCCAAAGCTTTTCCAAATGCTTAAAATGTCCCAGTGAAGTAGACAAGTAACCAAGGGCAAAAAGAAAGCTGAACTTAGCAGAAGAGGAGACCAAGTTATTTGCACGAGATCACAGAGGAAGCACGTACTGAAGTGGGCAATAATTCCACAGAGGACTGAAGCTGGAAGCAGAAGGGGAACAGTGGGGGAAGCATCACTGCATTTATCTGTTCTCATGCTCATCCTAGGCATCCACCTCCGGCCGCTGTTGCGAACAATGAAGGGCTAAATGACTTTTAGCCTCGTTAAAGATTGCTCTTAGTGTTACTTAGCTCTTCATAGCAATACATAACGGGCCAAATTCTTCATACAGATTTTGACAAAGACCCGAGTTAGTCTCTTTCCATTGTACATATGGCAGATAAAGGCTAATAGTGTGTTCCAGCCTTGCTAAAGGCTACTGTCTTGCAGCAATAACAGCATATAGGTTTGTCTGAACACACATCCTACTGTAATACTGAAATGCTTTGTTGTTAACAAGATGTACATGTACATAAAAGGTGGACTTCCTAAGCAAGAGGTGAGGAAATTCAACATTTCTCCTGACCACTCAGAATGGATGGGCAGTAAGAAGTAGATGACAGAGTGTCTCAAACTGCAAGAGGGAAGTGAATATGATTTATTATTCCCCATTATGATCCACAATTACACTTAACTTCACGGATGAATTTTTTTTTCCAGCTAGAAATCAAGTAAACTTCAAAACAGAAAAACCTCGTAGCAATTTCTCATCAAAGTTGCAATCTCTAGCTCCGGAAAGATGGCACCAGGTGTCTTACCAGAAACAGTTCTCAAAATAAGCCCTCAAATACATCCTTTTACTGCCTCAAAGCAGACAATATTTAAGAGTTATGAACAGCCACGAGTCCCACATTATGTGCTTAGAAAACTTTATGCTACTGGGAAAGGCACATCATCTCCACATTTACTGTGTTTAGTCACTACAGCATTATCAGGTGACACTGTTTCAGTACAAGTCTCAAAATCATCACTCAGATTTCATCTGAATACAGCCCAGCTTCACTATGCCTTCTTTGAATATCTGATGCAGAAAAACCTGCATTACTTTGGAGAGGATGTAACAAAAGGCATATTGTTGTATTAACCCATCAACAAAAAAACATTACCTGCTCTATGCAGATGGTTTTACCATTATTTCCATTACATAAAGCAACAAAACATGTAGCTAGCAAGAATCTCCACAAACATAATTGCTTTTTGTCTGCAATATAAAAGACTTGATATAGACTTAGTAAGACTTAATTACGTAGTAATCTGGATTTTAATTAAAGATATTGGACTGGATTTAGAGAAAAGCATGTTTCTTGCATGTACCTAGGAGAAACGTACTGTGATTCTCGAAGAGACAGAGAGGGAATGAAGATAACTGGTGCACATACATGACCAAGAGCATGACCAAGAGCATGACCAAGAGCATGACCACTATATAATTCACCATCTCATTACGCATAGATCAACTGAAACATCTAACAGCAAGACTAGGGAAAAACTAGCTCTGAAGATTAAAAAAAAAAAAAAAGCTAATTCTCACTGTTGATGTATATGCAAGGACAGTCGTCTTCAGGTAAGAGAGCAGAATTAGATTGAATTCAGGTTTCAAGATTTACAGTTCCACTGAATCCATGTTATACACCAAGTTATATTTGATAAGTTGCATATAAGTTAAAACAAGAACGCTTTCTGCTATTACACGATAAACACCACTTTTCAAAGTTTTGAGGTATGTTTACCTGACAGAAAAATATGATCAAAGTCAACTGTAATCAAGAGTTAACTCTGGGTTTTAAATAACAAAATGGAGTATAGCATGTGAAACCAAAAAAAATTAGAGACAGCTATTATACTCAGCGTTAAGATATATAGAGAGATTAGTTCACATAAAAAATTGTCACCATCTCTGTGGAGCACTGAAGTAGCAAATTCACATTGCTATCCTTATTTTTAGGTGGATTGGCCAATGGCTCTCAAAAAGTTGTATCTGCTTAATTATTTTTTGCTGTAGCTTTGTATCTTTTCTACAGTCTTTTTGAGAGCGTTCTGGAAGGCAGAGCAATATTTCCCCTTTTGCCACTGATCAGCTTTTCAAAGCTGTAAGAGCTCTGAAAAATAAAAACTAAAAGCAATCCCTCAGATATTCACTCTATTAGAATTGATATTAAAAAAGTAAAACAATTACTATTTGTTTTCTCAAAACAACCCCCTGAGAAACAAACCCTACACAGTTCTGTTTTGCAATTCTTCACAGAAACACGTACTTAAAAAGAGATTTCAGACCAGAGTTAACTGATGCATGACTCTCATTTGCTGTCAGGCAACATGCAGCGGCTGGACTTGGGGGCCGTTCCCAGGGGACGGCCAAAGAAATCTTAACAATCTCACAAAAAACTTCCACCAGCTATATTTAAGAAGTGCACAGTATTGCGTTATTTTCAATAGGATGAACCACAATATTTCCAAGAGTTCAATCTTTCTGTTTCAGAAACTCTAAATCTTCGTCAAAATAGCACAAGCAGAAGAGGAAGTCTGCTTTGCCTTTTAGATGAGAGTCCACATGCTCATGCTGGAATAAAACTCGCACAGATTTGGAGAAAATGCATCTGCTATTTATTAGGAGTGAGTTTTAGGGTCACTAACAAACACAGTATGCTATCAGTTTGCTGCTAAGTAACACCACAAACACCTAGGTTTTATGAGCATTATTAAAATTTAGTGATGAGATCTCTATTTATAAAATTGTGCCTAAGTGCAAGGTAAACTTACTTCACTGAATGGCTAATACATACACGTGCACACACTTCACTTGTACATAGCTTTGTTGACCTCAGCTGAAACTCAAGACATATGTAAAGTCAGTCACGGAAAGGAAAACAAGCCTCCGCTTGGGTAAGAGTGCTTTCTGCACTTAGTGCACTTGGTTAAGGCATTACTTAAGCTGCAAAGATTTCTTCATCTGAGAGAGAATATTCTTATTTTATCTGTTTCAATATTTGTGAGGGCTTTTTCTGAACCACTGAAATGGACCGATGGAAGTGTTACATTGATTAAAATAACATTCCCCTTTTGAGGGAATTGTTTTCTGGTTAATAGAAAAGTAAAACTAGTGCTTCCCAGTGTAATGCTTTGCAGAATGAGAATTAAGACCAACAAAATAAATAAATAAATAAATCACTTTGCCATGAATGCCTAAAGATTTTTAATTAATGCAAAAACATGACTTAAAAGTCAGTACAGAACCTATTATGCATAATCTAACCCAAGTGTCTGCATTAGGATACTGCAAGTGAAGTAGGCTGCATTTAGATTCAAAGCTTCCTTCCCTCTACCCTCTATTTAAAATCTGTAGCAAGATTAAAGCTACAGCCTAGAGTGCTAATACATTCTTCTAAATCTGTGCATGTCTGTTACAACTTGGAGGCTGCCATCCTTCCCAGTAAGGCAAGGAAAATGACGAGAAAATATAACGAATCAGCAGTAACCTGAAAACCACACTTTAATAATTTCTTTCAAACTTTTTTTTTTAAATAGAGTAATTGTGTTTCTTATGCACACTCTAGAGCACGATAAAAGTTGGCTTTTAGCAGTAGTAATTCAAATTTAAGACCAGCATTTATATCCATTATGAAATCATGTTTTCAAACTACCATGCACCTACATCTTCCCAGGCTATTTTTCATATTTTCAATTTTAAAAGTTAAAAAAATTACCACAATGATGGTTTTCTTGAGAAAGTGGTAGATAACAGTTAAGAGCAGTTAATAACTGCTTTTCATAGTTACAGTTAGGTAGTTTTTAATCCTCTTTTCATAAAATAAAAATTCAGATGGAGCACCAGGTTCACCAACAAGAACTGGTATCACAAATGAAATTAAAACCTAAGTCTGAGGCCCCAGCTGGTAATCCTGGGTTGGTAAACTCACCTG